CGTTGCAGAGCGTTCCGGGACGCTCTCAGAGAGTTCCGGGAGGCTCCGAGAAGTGCGCGGCGCCCGAGACGTCCTTCATGGCCGCTGGATCTCAAAGGCTATCGATTTATCCTTACCCGATGTTATCGTCGTCATCATCACCAGCTGTCGTCAACATCGCCCCTACCATTGCAATCGTTATTCTTATCACTATTATTTTTGTTTGATATTGTGATGTCGAGTGCGTTATTGGTATTGTTATCGTTCGTATTCTTACTATTATTATTGTGAGATCATTATTCTAAGTATCATGAGTAGTAGGATTCGTATACTTTAGTATAAGCGCACTTCTAGTTACACGTCGTATTCTATCATCCTGAGTCTTGTTTCTGCTCGCATTCTTACTATTATCGTCGTTGTTGTCGTCACCGCGGATGTCGTGATGACCATCATCACCCACCTGTCCGAGCCATGGGTCTGCATGGTAGAAAGGGTTCTCGTGTCGCTGCACCAGCCGAGCACTGCCCAGAATAATTGCGGGTTGGTGGGTGGGATGTTTGTTCCAGCACTGATTTTGGCAGTTCGAATTTCTTCAGCAGTACACTGCACGACGTAGATTGCACCACATGTATAGCATCTGTTTTTCACTGCCCCACATAGAGTACGTCGGTACTTCCCATTCCAGTGTTCTGGGTTCACGCTGGCAAGCATTTTATCGTTACTCTTGGCAGCATGGGCCCACTTCAAGCGGTACAAGTATTGTACGGTGGTGTGGTTTCAGTACGCTCGGGATTTGCGTCTTAGCCAGAGTGTCGCAAACTACCAGGAATCTGGATACACACGGCGCGGCCGGCCTTGGCGAGATCTGGATTCACATGTGGCCAGATGTCTCTTCAGCGCCTGGCCTTTCCATGGCCGTGCGGGCTGGGTTTCCGCATGTGTACCCAGCGCGAGGCCTCCAGATGTTTCACATGTGAATTCAGCCATTGCTATCTCCAGCTTCCCGGCGCTGTCAGACTGGCCGCGGAGTGCTTCTTCAGGCGCACGAAAGACAAGCTCACCACGAAGTCGGCCGTCCTGTCTGACGGAGCCACAGATGGCCACAGGCTGGTTGCCAGCTCGAGTGATTCAATGGAGAAGGGATTGAAGTGGCACCAGTACAGACTCTTCAGCGCGAAGCCGCGATCCGAGGCCACTCTGGCTCCAGCGACCCCCGATGTTGTTTGCGGGCTTGGGCCTCATGGCTCCATGTGCTCTCCGTCCTGGCCGTGTCCTACCGGGCGCCGCTGCCGGCGGTCCCATCGTTCGCGGGTGACACCGAGACGCTGGAGGTGCTCTCCACAGCCCGCGTGCGCCAGACGGGCCAGGGACTTCTGAACAGGCATCGGCGTCACCCCAACATACTTATACTATATGTGCGGCGCCCCCCCCAGGGGCGACGCGCGCACCGAGAAATCTTATGGCATACGTGTCGTGGCGGGCGCTTTCTTGTCACACCACTTGGGAAACGATCTACTACAATATGGGTATACTATATGTTCGGGTCGGACGCGCGCCTCCAAGGAAAACATATCGTACTAGTATGTCTTTGTGCGTCCCAAGGCAGACCAGTGCTCTGGTGGTGCACGGTGCGTCGGCGGGCTCAGCCCGCCGACCGCCCAGGCGCAGCATTCTTGCCTCATGGTATTCTCCGAGCAGTGCTGTGCAGCTTTCGAGAAATCAAAGTGCTGTTGAGCCGTATATGTATATATATATATATATATATATAATATATATATAAATATATACACAATATATTATATATATATATATAATATATATATAATGTATATATAGAAATATAAAAACATATATGGGAGATCCCGGCCCCCGCGCCCCGGGCCGGAACCTCCCTTGTATATGCGTGGGTCCCTCCCGGGCGGCGTCCCCAGGGGCTCCGAGACGGCCCCAAGAAGGCCGAGGAGGCCCCCAAGTGGTCCCAGAGGGCCCCGAGACGCCCAAAGATCGCTCCAAGACGCCCACGATGATCCCAAGACGGCTTCAGTGGCCTCCAAAACGCGGCTAGCGGTCTCCAAGAGGCCTCCCAAGAGGGTCCCAAGAGGCAAACAACATTGGTTTTTGAAGGTTTTTTGGGTTCTCGCCTTTTCGGAGATCGGACGCTCCAAGACCGCCCAAGAGGCCCCCAAGACCGCCCCAAGACGGCCTGAGACGGCCCCAAGACGGCCCCAAGACGGCCGAAGACGGCCCCAAGACGGCCCACGAGGCCCCCATGACGGCCCAAGACGGCCCCAATATTATATATATATATATATATACACACACACATCTACCCGGGGAAGGAAATCGGGGCCCGGAAACCACTGCCTCGAACCCCCAATTTGGGTCCACCCCCCCCTGGGGCCTCCTCGGCCGCTCCCCGGCCGCTCCCCGGCCGCTCAAGACAGCCTTTGGGAAGCTCCAAGAGCGCCCACGATGGTTTCCAGACTGCCCAAGAGGTTGCCAAGAGCACCCGAAAGCGCCACAAAGGGTCCCCAGGACTGGTCAAGATGACTTCCCAGTGCCCTAGATGGTTTCAAGACGGCCCAAGAGGCCCCGAAAACGCCCCAAGAGGTTCCAACGAGGACCCCCACGAAGCAAAAATCGGCACATTGCTTTCGGAAAACGTATATTTTTAGCAGGTTCGCTTGTTTGGTCTCGAGAGCGTCCAAGACGTCCCAGGAAGCCCCCTAGATCCTCCCAAGTCGGCCATGGAGGCTCCAAGAGGGCCCCAAAACGGCCCAAGAGAGCACCAAGACGGCCCAAGAGAGCCCCATGACGGCCCAAGAGCGGCCTCAAAGGGCCCAAAAGGCTTCCAAGAGAGCCCTGCGCGAGCAGATACATAGATGTGGATAGATAGATAGATAGATATATAGATCCCCTGTGAGCCGATTTTGAGCCCTCTTGGAGCGCTTCGGGACCGTTTTCGAGGCTGTCTTGAGCATCTTGGAGGTCTCCTGGACCGCCTTCGTGCCCTCTTGGGACGGTCTTGATTTTGGTTATTCTTAGAATCGCCCTGGGCTTTTTTTTCCAGTTTTGCAGTCTGGGCTCTCGGCACGCAAGAAAACGATTTAAAAAACGCGACATGGTTTTGAGTTGTTGTTCCCCACATCCTAAGTGGGATTCTTGTTTTCTCTGCCCACCTCCGCGCAGGATATCCTCCCTTACCGGGGGCCAGGGCCCCGGGCCGGGACACCCTCCCGAATTTCCCCCCCCCCCCCCCCCCCGTAACCCACTTTGCCCCCGGGCGTCCGGAGACTCTTTTGCGCCCCCGGAGGCGTCCACCACGGCTTCCGGGGACGGCAAGAAGCCGCCAAGACGGCCCAAGAGCGCTCCAAGACTTTCAAGATAGCCCCATCAAGGCCCAAGGGGCCCCCAAGAAGCCCCAGGGGCGCTCCGAGAGGCTTTCCAAGAGAGCCCCAAGAGGCTAAAATCATAGATTTTCCTTGTGTTTTTCAATGTTTTTTGCTTGCCCGCGTTTTCGGGCTTCTGACCTTCCAAGATTGCCGAGGAAGCTTCGAACATCGCCCCAAGACAGCCTAAAAGACCCCCGAGAGGCCTCCAAGACAGCCCAAGAGGGCGCCCAAACGGTCCAAGAGGCGCCCAAGACGGCCCAAGAGGGCTTCAAGACGGACCCAAGAGGTGCTAAAGAAGGGGAACACGAACCGACAATGGAGATTTCCGCCCCAGTAGGCCCCCAAGAGGCCCCCAAGAGGCCCCAAGAGGCTTAAAAATGCCCCCATCAGAGACCCCAAAGAGGCCCCAAGATGCCCCAAAAGGGCCCCCCGGAGGCTTCGAAACATTTCAAAATTGCCTCCCCCCAAGAAGCACTCCAGAGGCCCCACGAAGCCCACTGAAGGCCCCAACGAAGCCCCTACAGTCCGCAAGCAGCCCCTCATGTTGATTTTTCAAACCATGCTGAAGCCATTCGTCGGTACGTGCATTCGTGCAGCCGTGACTTTGTCAATGCGCGCAGCCGTGGTATTGTCAAGCGCCTGCGCTTGCTAGAACCTAAGCGCGCGCGAAGCGCGCGCGTGGTTCTAGTATATATTCATATATAAATATATATGATATGTAAATTATAATAGCTATATATATATATATATATAAATATATATGTACACATGGCTACAACTACACAGGGTGGCGTGAGTGTATCCTTGAATGGCGCCAGCAAGAGCTGCTTGAAGCGCAGCACGTCCTTGACTGCGTCGGCGTGTGCTTCTCCAGCTGCCTGCGGCAAGTTCCGCCGCCGTGCCAGCACAGTATTATGGCGGCGACTCTTCGGGGGGGAGCAGAGGAGGCCGTCACGCGTGACACCTCATGTCCCCAGGCTTGGGAGGGCCGAGCCATGTGACACACTCTGCCGCGTCGCGTCGGGGTTCTCTTCTCGTCTTCGTCACCTTTCTCCCGTCCTTTCGTGGGCTTCTGTGGGGCAGTATTGGGGGTCCCTGGGGCCACTGTTGGCCGTCTTGGGGCTCTCTTGGGCCGTCTCGAAGCTCTCGTGGGCCGTCGTAGGGTCCTCTTGGTCGCTTGGGGGGTCTCTTGCGCCCAGCGTGGGGCTGTCTTGGGGCCGCCTGGGGCAGCCGAGAGGTCCTCTAACGAAGTCTTGGGTCCCTCTTGAGGCCCTCTTGGGCCGTCGTGGGCCGTCCAGGGGGGCCTCTTGGGCTGTCTTGAGGCCGCCTTGGAAGGACAATTGAGCCATTTGGGGGCTCTTCTCTGACCTTCTCGGGGTCATCTTGGTGGCCTCCAGGGCCACCTAGGGCTGAAGGAAGTCTGAAAAGGCGAAGCCGCCCAAATTGTTGAAACACTGCGCGAACATACACGATTGTGGCCTCTTCGGGCGCTGCGAGGGGTCCTTCGGTCGCCGCCCTCTTGGGGCGTCTTGGGGGCCTCTCAGGCCGTCTTGCGGCCATCTTCGGCCGTCTTAGGGCCATCTTAGGCCGTCTTGGATGCATAGTATGCCATCGTGGCGGTCTTGGTGGTTTGCCGTGGCCGTCTTGGAAGCTTGGGAGCGCGAGTCTATAGTTCCCCACCGTCCTGTTTTGTTGGGTCCTCGTCTTGAAGAGACAGCGCCCCTCATTCCTCACTCCTTCCTTCTCCTCCTCCTCGTCCCATCCTGCCTCTGCCCTGAGCACGTCCACGTCGTCATAATAGTCATCATCATCATTGTCATCACCATCACCATGGGCATCCCGTTCCTGCCTCAGGCCTCCCATGTCCATGTCAGCACACCCTCCACACGTTTCGTGGCCCACAACGGAGCCCCAGTGACAGGGTCCGCCACCGCGCCCATTTTGGCACACCCCTCACACGCTTCGTTGCCCCATCGGGAGCTCCACCGAAGGCCCCAGTGGCAGGGTCCGCATGGCGCCACCACGCCCATTTCGGCCCACCCCTCACACGCTTCGTGGCCCCACTGGGAGCTCCACCGAAGGCCCCTATGGCAGGGTCCGCATGGCGCCACCATCGATTCCGGCGCAACCCTCGCACGCTTCGTGGCCCCATGGGGATCTCCACCGAAGGCCCAAGTGGCAGGGTCCGCATGGCGCCATCGCACCCATGCCGGCACACCCCTTGCACGTTTCGTGGCCCCATTGGGGAGCTCGACCAGATGCCCCAGTGGAAGGCTCCGCATGGCGCCACCGCACCCATTTCGGCACAACCCTCACACGCTTCATGGCCCCATGGGGATCTCCACCGAAGGCCCCAGTTGCAGGGTCCGCATGCCTGATGGCGCCGCCGCGCCCAGTTCGGCACACCCCTTACACGCTTCGTGGCCCCATTGGGGAGCTCCACCAGATGCCCCAGTGGCAGGGTTCGCATGGCGCCACCGCACGCATTTCGGAACAGCCCTCGCACGCTTCGTGGTCCCATGGGGATCTCCACCGAAGGCCCCAGTGGCAGGGTCCGCATGCCGCATGGCGCCGCCGCATCCAGTTCGGCACACCCCTCACACGCTTCGTGGCCCCATTGGGGAGCTCCACCGAAGGTCCCAGTGGCAGGGTCCACATGGCGCCACCGCACCGATTTCGGCACACCCCTCACACGTTTCGTGGCCCATGGTGGGGTTCTACCAAAAGACCCTAGCGGCAGGGTCCGCATGGCGCCACCGCACCCATGTTGGCACACTCGTCACGTGGTTCGTGGTCCCATGGGGAGCTGCACGGAAGGCCCCAGAGGCAGGCTCCGCATGGCGCCGCCGCACCCAGTTCGGCACCTCTCACACGTTTCGTTGCCCCATCGTGAGTTCCACCGGAGGACCCAGTGGCGGGGTCCGCATGGCGCCACCGCGCCTATTTTGGCACACCCCTCACACACGTTTCGTGGCCCCATGGGGAGTTCCACCGAAGGCCCCAGTGGCAGGGTCCGCATGGCGCCATCGCGTCCATGTCAGCACACCTCTCGCGCGTTTCGTGGCCCCATGTGGTGCTCCACCGAAGGCCACCGCACATAACTATGTTGGGTACACCGCACAAGCGCTTCGCGGCCCGATGGGGGTCTCTACCAGAGGCCCCAGCGGCAGGGTCCGCATGGCGTCACCGCACCCATTTCGGCACACCCTCACACGCTTCGTGGCCCCACGGGGAGTTCCACCGAAGGCCTGGCGTACCTGCATCGGATTCGGCCCCCCCCCCCTCACACGCTTCGGGGCCCCACTGTGACTTGCCCCTCTTTCGTCGCACTTGCCTTGTGGCACTCGAATCTGCACATCGTTGGGTCCTTCGCCAGGATCATGGTTTTCCAGGGGATCGTCGCCTCAGGAGCGCGGACTCATAGTTTTTTCAAGGGGTGGTGGCTTCGGGATGCCTGGGACGACCTGAAGAACTTCGTGGTTTGGACAGCTGTCTTCCTTCCCACTCTGCTGATGGCCTCGCTGCTTAGCTGGCCTTGCGTACACACGCAAATGAAGGAATCCCGCGAACAGTGGCTGGCGTGGGGCTTGCAGATGGAATGCGGTGATCAGACCGGCTACCTCTCCGTCCTCACCGTTTGGGGCTTCGTGGCCGCGGGTCCACTGACTTGGCTTGGCCTCGTAGCGATGTCCAACATGTTCCCTCCCAGTATGCTGAGCTTCCTCGTGGGGGGCTACAAGGAGCGCGCCAAATTCTGGGAGGTGGTGGTGCTGTTACGGCGGTGCGTAGACGCCATGGTCATCGTGTTGATGCCACTGACCTACGCAGCCTTCTCGCAGACGCTGGCAAAAGCAGGGCTCATGGCTGCAGCGCTGTCGTTGCACGCCTTCGTCCGGCCTTACGATGACCCCTTGCTGAACTTGCTCGAGTTCGTGAGCTTATTTAGCAACACGATCTCGGTCATCCTGACGGCGTACGTGTCCGGCCACAGCTGGAGCCAGACAGCCAGTCTCAACAACGCCGCCTTCGCCGCCAGTGTCGTGCTGCTCGTCGGCACTGGTTTCACCCTGGTGCTGTCCCTGCTGGCGAGCCTGTTCCGCTGGCAGCGTTAGGGACTCTGGTATCGGAAAAAGAATCGATCGCGCCCTGGGATCTGGAGGCCCACGGATTGACGTCACACCAGAGATCTGACATCATTCCGTGAGGCTTCGATCTGCTCGTGCTTCAGTGGTTCATTGTGACGTGCGTATTGCTTTGGTCAAAGGCTTCGAACGAGCAGTCCATCCTAGAGGCTGCTTGGGCGTTCCCCAGCGTCGAGCAAGTGAGAACACGTAGGGAAACATGGTTCTATGGCATAAGCTACGCCGTTTCTTCAATGCCCAGCGGGGACCTCTTTGACAGAACACATCTTGTGCGACTCGTGCATGAATAATTCTTGATGCTTCGCGCAATTAACCCCGCCAGCCCATTTTGAAACGAGACCCATGCGAGTTGCCTTGACCAGGGATGTGGAGTATAATGCAGTGAACTAAGCGGTTGGGTAAGAAGTCGTACCCCAAGGCGGGGAGGATAGAAGAGGAATCGGAGGCGAAGGAGGAGAAAAAGATGAGGAGGAGGAGGAGGAGGAGGAGGAGGAGGAGGAGGAAGTGAGAGGGGAGGAGGAGGAAGGAGGAGGAGGAGAGGAGGGAGGAGGGAGGAGGAGGAGGAGGAGTAGGAGAGGAGGGGGGGGGGGGGGGGGGGGGGGGGGGGGGGGGGGGGTGGAGGGAGGATAGGAGAGGAGGAGGAGGAGGAAGGAGGAGGAGAGTAGGGAGGAGGAGGAGAGGAGGAGGAGGTTCGGCGAGGTTCGGCGATGACGACGATTCACGCCGGCAAGCTGGGTGAAAAGCCAATGCAACAACAATAAAGTTAATAGAGTCTATCCTGCACTCCATGCAGCTCATCATTACTGGTGCCCCTGACGCCAACATGTTCTACTGCGTTAAGAACATGTTGCTGCAATGCATGACATTAGACGCACATTATCACAACATTGCTAAAGGCCGCTATCCCACTTAGTGGGATTGATGACCTTTCAGGGATCTACGATGGCCTCCAGGAGTCAGTCTATGGTGCGAGACGGCGTCGCAGAGAAGTGCTCTAGGCGGCCCACCCTTTCGGCCAGGGCGGCCAAAACAGCAACGCTGCACGCACCGCAGCCACTATAGTAGCTACGGCAGGTGCCCAAAGCATCAGCGGCGTACAGGCGTTGGTCGCTCGCTGTTGGCGAGCCGCTCCCCGTTGGGGCCCTTGCCCTGTAACAGGTAGCGGCGTTTGTAGAATCGGCGAGTGCCAGGTACAGGAAGTCCTATACATGGCTTAGCGATTAGATGCGCGCGCGTCTCGCATCGCGCAGCGCATTGGGCACAGAAAACAAGAGGCCCGTTGCGCCATAGTCTATGAGAGCTATGGGCAGCACGCACTCCCATCGGAAGCCCCTGACACTGTTGTGCCAAGAGGCCTCTGCGCGTGTGTCGATTTCTACCGCAGGTGTCGCAGTAGTATTTCATGCCACGCTTTATTATAGTGTGCCCTCTCGTGTCAATCAGCAGTGGTCTTGCACGAGTGGGCCCTTCATAGGGAACAGGGTCAGCGTCGGCGAAGTCGCAGCTCGCGCAGCGCCTGAGTATCCTCAGGGCCATGCGCAGTGTGAAAACGGCAGAGCACTCTCTTGCGTGGCGAAGCACTTCGGCATACCCATTTTTGGGATGCATCAAAGCGCCCTGTTTGGCAAACTCGTCAGCTGCTTGATTGCCCAACCACATTGCCAGAGGTATCGCATCACGAATTCTCTGACTATCGCTGCGGTGGCTGGGTATCCAGATCACATCAATGCCTTCACGCCCAACGTCGTGCACCAGGCGCCAGAATTCACGCCAGAATTCCCCAAGGTGATTTCGAACGTGAGCACCTGAACCATCGCCACGATCCCATGCTTTCTTGAGTTCCAGGTAGTCGGTGACTATGACGATGTTTCTCGGCCCCTTGTGTCGGAGCGCTATGATCGCTGCCCACAGTTCGCCTGCCCCCGAGCACGCCCATGGGAAACGTACTGGGCCAAATGCAGCCCCAAGCACCCCGCCCCGATCATCGATCATGACGGCTGCCCAGCCGGCACGCGCCAGAAGAGGATGGTGAGCTTGCTTCCCCGATCCGTCAGTGCACACCAGCCCTTCGAACCCTCCATTGGGCGGTTCGCGGAACCAGACAACACGGTCATACTGATGTGGAGGTGGGAAGCCGTAATTCGGGTCGTAAGCTGGGTCAGGGAAGAGGCCCTTGCACGTAATGTACGTCATGGGGTGATTGGCACCGTGCTCCACACGCCCTTGTGCGAGTAGCCTACGTTCATCACCGCACCAATCTTGCCTTTCTGCTGCATGATAAAGACAACGATATAAGCGATGTGACGGGGTACCTTCTTCATGTTTACATAAGACACACATGGGATTTGGTGCCGCCCCATGTCGGAAGAGGCGATCCTGCGTCCAAAACCCTCCTGCAACCCATGTCCGAATCAAACCCGCACCTTGGTAATCTTCTTTTTCCCTGAGCTCTTTCACCAATTTGGCAGCGGGTTCAAGTAGAGGTACTCCCTCGAAACCTTCTAGTCGGCACTCGCTTAAGATCTTTGCAGTAGTGGCTTGGCCCACCAACTTCCTCAGCGTGTGAACCCCTATCTCATGCAAGTCTATGAGCAGACCTTGGGGTGAGACAGACTGCATCGCAGTCTGCCTCGAACCCTGTGCTGTTAAAAGGCTGGCCATATTACTGGGTATGTACCATTTGTCCCAACTGATGGCTTCCCACCCCAGCCGTTTAAGAGTGAGGAGTACGGCTCCAGCTGGTCCAAGTACTGCTCCCCAGTTGGCCGGCCTGCTCACCGCGTAGCTGTGGGCCATCTTCATCTGGTTTGGCGTGGCCCATTCAAGCCATAATGCTTTCAGCCAGGTAACCAGAGGCAGCGCGTTGGCGTCATAAGTCGGGTCGCACTTCGGGTCGTCAGACAACATAAACTCGACTGTCCGAGATCGCCCACGAGGTGGCCCGAAGATAGCAAAGGCAGCGGTGGCTCGAAGACTAGCAAGTTGCGCATCAGGAACGCCATGCACACGCATCCCATAAGTAACAGCTGGTAGTCCTCCCGCTCTGTAAAGCCGACACACTGATCGTCCTCCACACGCGAGCCTGCGAAAGCGTGTAATACGAACTTTCATTTTAAAGGCCCGTTTGCTCTGAACAGGCCTTCCAGCTCTCATCATTCGTCTGTCAACCCCGAGCTGCTTGACGATCCTTTTGGGCTGAAATCGATAAGATGAAAGCTGCACCGCAATCTGCCTGGCAATTTTGTCGTGGCTAGCAACTACTTGACCTTTGTCCAGGCTAACTTTCATTCTACGCTGCTTGAATTGTTCGCAAGCAAACTGAGCTGCCTGAGTTACAGTTTTGACTACGTCCTTTGTTTGTCCTCCAGCCTGCGCGGTGGAGTCGTCGACTACCACCGAGAGGTCGATACTAGGCCATAGGTAATACATTCTGTCATATATGTCCATGGTAAAACATTTCGCTTACAGCGAAACCACATCCTGCAATCACTCCACGGTTGGTCATGATAACATTGCTCATGTGGGATCCAAATTTGATGGACCTTCTACCCCCATAACAGTGTAACAGCATGGCCATTCTGCGTCGTGGGAAACCGTGACGCACAGCAGAGTCCCAGAGAAGGTCATGATCGATGGTCTCGAACGCTTTGGCCAAGTCTATTAGGACCGCTGCTGTGTGTTTACCCATGGACTTTGTGGTCTCCACCATCAGGGCTTGCCTCCAAACTGCTTGTTCCGTGCTGCGGCCAGCACTGGCGTATTCATAATGTCTCTTATGCCCTGCATTCCATCTGTCCTGTTGTGGCTTGCGGGCTTTATTGTATACGCGCAGCGCGTCGGGGAGCAAACCTATCAGGCGATGCCCCCCGTCGGGCTTGGGTAACTGAGGCAACAGAGTGTTACGTAAATGCTCAGGTAACTTGCCGAGGCATTCCGCTTGATGCATCACTTCAGCAAATGCCGTGAGGCACTCATCCGAAAGCATCGCCATCGAACGAGGCCGTATTCGGTCAGTGCCCGAGGCAGTTTTGCAGCTGAAAGTTCTGGCAGCAAACCTGACATCCTGAGGAGTAAGCTTTGGTGGAGGCTCCTCATCGCCGAAGTCGTGTATCTTTTCGCAGAAGGAAGCAGCACCATCAGTATGCTCCCAAACCTGCTTCCAGACATCTAGATTTTCTTGGAGCCTCTGTGCGTGAGCAACTACACCTCGTCCTTGATGCTCTGCGCGTGCAGGCACCCAAGTTTGCGGCGCCTTGCTCCAAGCGTGCGCCTTGGCGGTGGTGTTTTGGACTTGCGTCTGTACCTCACGTTTCCAAAGGGTGAGTCGCTTCTTGGCACACTTGATTTCAATGCTGGTTGCTTCTTTTGCCGCAGCCCAGCTCATGTCTCGCAGCCAGTCTACGCATAAGCACCATTCCGCCGTAGCGCGCATGATCCAGGTATTCCAAGTAACATCTGTGTTTTTGATGTTCCGGAGCTTTCTGATGGTGCGGAGGCGATCCTGGATGAACTTGGTGGTGACTGCCATCCCACGGTGCAATGCATTAGCTAGGTCAATGCACGTGTTGCCCGCCTTGCGCCACCAGCGTGATAGCTGACTGCCTTCAGCCACTGCCTTAGAGGTACTGCGTATTGCTGCCACTAACTTTAACTTTGGTTTATCAAGATCTCCACGCCCTTGATACGGCCTAACCTGATCAGGAGGAAGTTGATACCTATCAAGGAGCTCTTTTTCGGCCTGCATGGCCCATAAGGCGTAGGCCCAAGTCAGATCTCCCTGATCACGAACAAGCTCGGTTTCTTTTACAACTTCCGTATAGTCAGGTGGCGGCCGCGGAGCTCCCATCGGGAGCTCCGTCGGCAGTGGCTTAGGTAGGCACATCTGTTGTATCAAGTTGGATCCTGCTCCTTTTTAAAGTGATCCCAACACCCCAATGCGTAGCAATAGGCAGGCCCTCAATCCTGTAGACTGACTTGACCATGCCAC